GGAGAAACATTTCTCAGTAACAAACATGGAGAAAGCACTGCAGCAGAGGGGACCCGACCCTCTGAATACTGCTGACACAAACACATTGCATCCGGTAGCATTGCATGTGGCTCCTTCAATAGAGCCCAGGGCACCACCGTCAGAAGTCATTTGGCATTCGTCCAACATGGTCCCGCGTCCACTCCCAGACCGAACAGCTTAGTCCAGAGCCACAGAGGCCGTCCTGTGGCCTGGGTGCCTCAGCAGGCAGGCTCTACCCTCTCTATGATGACATCCCAGGTTAGTGCTTCTAAAGTGAAGCCCCAGTACTCAGGCCTTGTTGCCGCACTGGCACTTTGCGATAAGCAGGTGGAGGCTGCAGCTTGGGCACTCAGTCTCCAAAAGTTTCGCCATTGCTGATCTAGACAGAGATTTCAGCTCACATTTACCCTGAATATGTAGAATTTCATATCCTTCAAGAAACTTTTAATCAATGATATCTTCGAGGTTAAGCTTTTGGTGTAAATTAGGTAACTGGATTCAATATTATGGGCTAGAAAAACTGCCCGGCACAAAGCTCTTGTCCACTGCTATTTCTGTGTAGAGCTATTTGGCCTCAATGACGAAGATCGGAATTGACAGTGAAGAATCTCATCAGCCTACAAGAGCATAACGAGACTAGACTATGAGGACAGAAATGCTGCTCTTGTTGGAGGAGGAGAACCCAGAGAGGAAGGAAGGCACGGAGGGCGGGAGCAGTGAAGATGAGGCCATTTGTGGAGATGGCTGGGATAGAAGAGCCACAGATGGAGATGGCAGAACTTATGCAGTGACTTTGTTTATGATACATCTGCTGACAGGTGTTCAAATAGGGGACAATTCTAGAAGTCTTCCGTTAGCAGTCATGAGCCCTGGCAGCTCCTGGATCCCTGCGCCTGGCTAAGCCACCTTACCTGAAACTTCTGGTTAAAAGTCGCTGATGGTAGAAACAGTCTCCTGCAGAGGATTTAGCAGAAGTCACGGTATTCAGGGAAAGTTTATCTTTTAAATTATGGCCAGGGGCAGCAGAACCTAACCAAACAGAAGACGGGAGCCTCTCAACTACCAAGGCGCAACAGCACCTGCACAGGGAGCCCGACTGACGGGTCCCGCGGCGGGACATGAGCTGCCCTGCCCAGCTGCTTGGAGACATTTCCTTTGGAGAAAGGGCAAAGAGAAAGGGTCAGCGTAGGGGAAGCCAGACTTCAGAGCCCCAGCCAGAGGAGCTTTCAAAACAAACTGAAGAAAGCACCGATCCAGGGAACTGGTTTCCCGGAAAGCTTGTCTCACGGGGTGAGCAACAGCCTGAGCGCCCCGCTGCTCAGCGATGACCAGAAATGCAGTATTGGACTAGCAGCAGCATTGTATAAATTCTCCAATAAGCTAGATGCCGTCTTCTATCAGCTTCAGCTAAGGGAGTCATGGGTGAGGTGAATTTTTTTTTTAATATAAGAAAACATTTCAGATGGCTTTTTTCATCTTATGGCTTTTGGTACATGTGGAAAACTTACTGCCACCAGAAAAGATCTTGAAGAGAAAAATAAGCATTGACAGGTTTCCCAGGATGATCAGGAAGGGCAACAAACCAGACTTCTTAGATTAATTGGAAAGACCACTTGGACAGCGATTTTCAAAATACACTACCCAGTCTCACTGGGGCATCTTTCTTTCCCTCAGTAGCTGCTCTCGTTTGCTCCATAGCAGCTAATGTCTTGCAGGATCTACAGAGGGTGATGTTCAAGAGCATCTGTGGATTCTGATAAAAATGCAAACAGCTCAGGTGACAGACACCCATCGGCATCAACTTCCACATGAGGAAAGCAGAGCGGAGGGGTAGAACTGTGCAGACGGGAGACGGTGGCAGTCCAACCTGGACTTTGTGGTTAACTGGAGGCGTTCCTGTGTCACCAGCCAGGTAGATCGTAACTTATGCACAGACAGAGGCTGAGAGGAAAGAGTTTTCCTGAGAGCAAGAGGCTGTGTCTACCCAGCAAGAACCATGAGCAGGAACAGCGCATTTGACACGAGAGCATGGAAACCTGCGAGGGACATCCTGGTCCCACGGTGCTGCGCCTGGACCACAGAGCCTTCCTTCCCCTCAGGCAGGCGGGATGTAGCAATTCGGCGCCCCTCTACACAGGATGCAGCCCAGCCTGCAGTGCTGCCCTTGTTTAATTCAAGATGAGCAAATAGTTCCAAGGGAAAAAATTCTTCCATGTTTGTCATAGGCCGTGAGACATAGGACATACATCTCTGATTTTTTTTTTTTTTTTTTTTTGCGGAACTGGGCATTGAACTCAGGCCCTTGCACTTGCCAGGGAAGCGCTTATTCTACTGAGCCATCTCCCCGGCCCTTCCATCTCTGATTTTTAAAAAGAGGTGTGATCAATTAAATTCAATTTCTTTCCATTGCAGTAATTCCTTAGCGTTTCCCGTTCCAGGGCGCTGGTCATTGCAGTAAGTGACAGAGGCTTCCCCTGTTAGAAGTACCACAACAGGACAACTGAGTCTCAGCCTCTGAGCCTGGCACTTCAAGGTGCGAATGAAACAGAGGGTGGATGTAGGTAAGCTAGAGTAGGGGTGGTGGCCCTGGGCCGTGGGCCACAGACAGCGCCCAAGAGGAGCCAGGCTTTGGGAAGCCTGGAGTCTTCTGAGGGTGCACAGTGCCCAGCCCTGCACACACCGAGATACAGCTGACCGCAGTGAAGGGGTGCTAAAGTCGGGAGGGGGCTTCTTTTAAATTAAAAACCTTGCTGAGCTTCAAGGAGAGAGCAAAAATTTTTCATCTGTCTACACTGTTGGTTTCCTATGCACGTGAAATATATTTATTATTTTCTAAATTAGCGTAATGAGTTCCAGCCCGCACAGGATGTCACAATGGAAACAGGATTATACAAGATAATGTGGACTTGTGTTCTTCAAATGAGTTTCACCTCCATTCCCTGCGTTGTTCTTTTGATCTGAGCTGCGTTTCAGTTACCACATTGAAGGAGGTTACATAAAGGGTAAAATAATAGAAACTTAATCAGGAAATAGGTTTCTGTATTGCTGCATTTTATTATATACTCTTGCCATGTTCCAAAGCATAATTCTCAAAATTAATAAAAGATGTGTCATTTTAGAATAAGGACAATTGAAACCACATTGTGTCGTGTGTAATTATGCATCTTTCTTCTGCACCTCCCGACCGCTTCACGCTGAGCGATCCTCAGCCCAACCTCGGGGCTTCGTTAAGGGTTACTCGTGGGAAGAATAAGCTCGCTGAGCCCTGGCTTCTTTAAAATGCAGGGAAATATGGTTGGTTGATGAATTTTATTTTAAAGATCGAAAACACAAAATGGCAAAATAATTTCTCAGAAACATATCCTGTTTTCCAAAAGCTCAGTGCGATGACTTTCCACTAGACAACAGCCCAAGGCAGGCGGGCTCCATCCGTGGGGCGCAGAGCTCCAGGGTGGTACGTGGCCAGGGTGCACTTCCACGGTGCAGAGGGACAGACGGCCGGAGGCGCACATGACTGACTTCGGCAACGGAATGCCATTTTTCTGGCAGACTGATTTGTGCACACTTTGGACGAACCACGACACATGATTATGCTACTGGGTCGGCATTGAGCCTCTGAAAGTTTATGCCCATGACATTTCTCGCGATCTTCAATCCACCAAAAGCTTCCCACTTCCCAACAAGTAATCGTCTCAGTTTCCAAAGTTTCTGTGAGAGTGGACAGCACCTCTCTGACCCTTCCCCTTTCGTTTGTCCTCCCGGCCAGATACTCCACACGGGCACAGCCTGGAGGAGAGGCTCATCTACGGGGTAGAAAACAGCAGCACCTTCCTGGAGTGCAGCCCCAAGTCCCAGCGCGCGCTGGTGTACTGGCAGTTCCAAAGGCGAAATGAGGAACGGAAAGAAGAGGTAAGGCTGCCCTCGGTAGCTTCACTGCGGGCCCAGGGACAGGGAGGCACGGACGCCTGCCCGCCCCCGTGCCTACGCCCGAGCGTGCTGGCCGGGAGCACACCCGTGGGCCGGTGGGAGGCAGGCCAGGGTGAGCTTCCTCCCGGGGGCGCCGGGATGTGTGCGGGGCGCAGCGCCTCACCATGATGCCTGCAAAGCCAGGACCTACTTCCCTACATCAGAGCAAAAGATCTGCCCGTTCTAGCGCTGGCCCCGTTGCTTCTCATTTTTCTCTCCTGACTTCCTCACAGTGGGAAGGAGTTGGGAGCAGAGAGCGGAGAGGAGAAGGTCCCTGGGGCGGCAGGCGGGGAAAATGCATTAATACGGTCCAGACTGGCTGATGTGCAAATGTCTTATGTGTTGGTAACTTCACCAGCATAATATGACTATTAAAACGTACTCTCATTAGCATTTTTTGACATTTTGAAGTTTTTATATAACCACATTGTGCAACTGTCAATAGATTCTATACACTGCCAGTCTGGGATTTCCGAAATTGCTGTTGTAAAATGTATTTGAAACAAAGGTGAGAGCATTTTCTCCTTTGTATGTTCCATTCAATGTCTCATAAGTTAGGTAAACACTTAGTGAATGTTAAACTTACTTTCTTCTTGCGGTCCAACCGCTGAGTTCACTTTTCTTACACTTAACCTCAGTAAGTTCATTTTAATGCCCTGCTCTTTTCTCTGTCAAAGTTTTGCTTACCAATTTAAATATCTAATCTTAACTTTGTGTCATAGTTATACACCTACCTTTAAGTTTATAACAAAGCTGGGGCTGGCCAAATAGCTTAGCAAATTAAAGCGCCTGCAAGCAGGCGCAGGGACCTGGGATTCAATCCTGGGCCTGGTGTGCCGGTAATCCCAGCTCTTGGGAGGCTGTAAACAGGCCATCACTATGAGCTTAATGTAGTAGTGAGACCCTCTATACACCGTAAGCCCTTCCCTAAAATACAAAAGAAAAAAATTTATAACAAAACTACATATTTTTTCTTTTTTCCAGATACCTTGGTTATTTAAATTTCATATAGGAAATCTTACTAAAACAGTAGTAGAACCAGTGTATTACATTGATCTCAAAGCAACTGGTGGATGCAACTCTTTCCCCTAACATAAAAGGCTGCTGTCACTCTCCAATTAGAAATTGTGGGGCCAGCCAGATAGCTCAGCAGATTGAAGCACCTGCTTAGGCATACTCTGAGATTGGGGCTCCATTCCCAGCCTGCCGTGCCCACCCTGTCCCTGGGGTGTGCTGAGATGGCGATTGATACTGGGTGTGGTGGCACATGCCTGTAATCCCAGTGCTTAGAAGGCTGAAAACAGGCGGATCACTAGGAGTCTGATCTGTGTAGTGAGACTCTGTAGACCCTGCACTATTTAAATTTTAAATGTTTTTACATTAAAGAAAGAAAGAAAGAAAAGAAAAGAAATTGTGTTGACTACTGTCGTGTGCCTGGTCTACGAACCTGGATGTTTCCTGAGGGTTTAAGGTCCCATATGCTCTGGAAGTGCGCAGTTGTGTAACACCTCTCTCTTCCCCAATAGATCAGAGTGGACGACCACATCATCAGGACAGAGCAAGGCCTGCTGCTGCGCAGCCTGCAGCGCAAGGACTCGGGCACCTACCTGTGCCACGCCGTGGAACACGGGTTCATGCAGACCCTCCTCAAGGTGACGCTACAGGTCATCGACGCGGAGCACCTGGAGGAACTTTTGCACAGGGATGAGGACGGGGAGGGCACCAAGGCCAAAGAGCTGGCCGGCAGCATGACCCCGAGCCAGAAGGTATGGTACAGGGACTTCATGCAGCTCATCAACCACCCCAACCTGAACACCATGGATGAGTTCTGCGAGCAAGTTTGGAAAAGGGACCGGAAGCAGCGCCGGCAAAGGCCAGGCCACACTCAAGGGAACAGCAACAAGTGGAAGCACTTGCAGGAAAACAAGAAAGGGAGGAACCGGAGGACCCACGAATTTGAGAGGGCACCCAGGAGTGTCTGAACTGCGTTACCTCTAGAAACCTTAAAGGAGTATCAACTTGCCTAGACAATAACTGGAAAAATGCAATATACAGGAACTCTTTCCATGGCATTATGTGGGTGTTTACAATGGTGAAGAATTCAGCGGAGTTCCACCAACTATAAATTAAGTACCTGAGCAACTTTCCTAGCAGGATTTCTTCTTAATAGCAACACCTAAGAGAGGTCTCGGATGGGCACGGATGTTCACCGTATAAGACTGTGTTTCCTATGAGAATCCATTGTACAAGTTCCACCTCCCTTTGCCTGAGAAATAAAAAAAAAAGAAAAAAAGAAAAAAAGTCACTTACCATATCACCATCTACTGGAGAAAAACTGGTCTGCAAAGCCATTGTATTGAACTAGAAATGTAAAGTAAGCTGCATGGATTTACTGAGCTGACGAATATTCCAAAACACGGTTGAATGCGAAGATGTTTCTTTTGTCTACCAGCACCCATGTTCGTGTGGACTGGAGGAGGAAAACGAGGAAAGCGGTACTGAGTGACATGGTTTGTGAAATGAAAACGTATCACTCACCGGCGTGAGAGGCGGATGGGACACACTGCTCTACTACTGATGTCTTCTTTCAGCTTTGCCCTAAAGATGTATTTTATTAAAACTATAATTTAAATGTACCATGACAAATATGCAGTAAAAATTAGCTGTTTTCTAAGCTAGAGTAGCTTTCTTTGTCTTACAATTACTGTGCTATATCATTGGTTTTAAAAATTCCAATTGTGTGCTGCTTCAATTGACAATTTGTTTTCAGTTCTGTAGGAAGGAAAGCTGGTATTGTTCTAGAGACACAGATGCTATTAACCATTAATTCCTAAAATCAAGATATAAATTATGCTTTATTTTTCTGAGGAAATCAAACAACTGTAAGCTAGCAGGTCCTTTTCTTTAAGTATTACCTAAATTAATTTTAACTAGCATAATGTTCTTAGAAAAGCAATATAACCAGCAAGAAAAGGGAAGCAAGTGATTTCTTAAATGCATTTTAGTCTATCTAAAGGATCAAAGGAAAGAAAATGAATTGTGTATCTCGCAAAAGCAGAATATGTGTCATGTGCACGTAGTTAATAGAAAATGTCTCCTAATCCTGTGCTTGCAGCGTGATGTGTGAGGCACAAAAGCCCTCTTTGGAGTCCACTCAGAATCAAAGGGATCACTTAACGGTCTTAGAAAAGGCAGAGAAATCTGCACAAGGCAGAGCAAATCTTAGGGGCAGATTTCCCAACTGCTGATTTTTGAGTTGGCTCCTCTCATCACACCTTGCTGAAGAAAATAATCCACATGAAGCCGCAATTCTTTCCACGTCAGTGGGCCTGGCTTTCTATACACCAGCTTCCAAGAAAGGACCCAAACTTCAAAACTGTAAAGCTCTTTGTTTGTTGCCACAACTTTCAAAATCAGGTAAAAGGTTTCTCACCAAGAGTTTGCCTCTGCTGGCCTGAGGAGGTCATCTGAGCGTCTTAGGCAGGAAGCTGCAGAGGTGTCAGCGCTCTGTCCGGGTCTGCAGCCTGCGCGCTGCGTCAGGAGCCTTCACCGCCTGGGTCCTTTACTCGGCACAAAACAGCCAAGAAGACAGCTTCCTGCTGGCTGTCATTAAAGGAGTGACATTGAAATTTAACTCCAGTTGTCTTGGGACTCCAATTAACTCAGCATAAATTTCTCACCTCAGGCAACAGCGAACTCCTGTTCCCCATAAGATTAGCTGTTTCCCAAATGGAAACTCACATCGCAGCTTTAATGATTATTTGAATAAGCAACTTGTTGACATTTGTTTCAGATAAAAGCCTAAAAATTATCCACAGCTAATTGTAGGCACCCTTGTCTAAGATGATGCTTGTTTTGGACATACTTTTTCAGGGGGAAGTTGAACTGTTAAGCAATTTGAAGAGCACAATCCTGTCCAGAAAATAATGTTTAGAATGTAAATCAAAGGTGCAAGTGTGCTCCAAAAATAGCCCATTTTCCTACTATAGTACAGTGTCTGAACTGTGTTGAAATTCAGTGTTGCATTTCATTCTAAATTTGCAGCTGAAACAAATTTATTTGGAAAAGCAAAAGTATTTTTTTCTTTCTGGTCCTTAAAAATGAAAGGATTGGAAGGAATAGAGATTGTATGATAACCTCATAGCTACTTTCCACAATTTGAAAGCATTTTGTTTAGCCTCATAAAATATAAATAGAAAAAGTCTAGACTTTCATTCAAAGTATCAAAAGCCAACAAGTTACTGCCATGTTTTCAAAAAACCGTGAAGTCTAGGGTTTTGGAAAAAGTATAGATGTAATGTGTGGGTAGCTGAATTCTATCACAGGCCCAGTCTCCTGCCCATGTGTACTGAGGGGGGCAGTTCACATGAAAATGGAGTTCTTGCCCCACTTAATAATTCGGCTCTAACGGCTGCTGGCATATGCATGTATCACCAGAGGTAAAACTTGGATAAGAGACTCGCCCGACATTCAGCAAATCATGACAGCAGCCTTAAGGATGAAAAGACGCATAGCATAAGGGAGCCACGGCCCCGTGCAAACCAAGTGTAAGCGCACGTAAATGCACACTGACTGCTTCCTTTAATGAATTACTGAGTGATTTTTAATGTGATGTGCTTAATATTTTTGCTACCTACACATTAGGCAAAAGAGATGTGAGTAGTTTTGAGCAGAGAGGAAGAACAGTGTAAAATACAAGTTTCTGTAGGTGCTCCCTGCAGCGTGCCCAACAGCACCCCGAACCGCAGGCCAGCTCCGCAGGCGCAGGGAGTTGGTGTGCTCTCTCTGGCTGGCTGGCGTGTGGCCATTCGGTGAGCATGTGTTTCACCAGGAAGTGAATATGTTCCATAGCTATATCTATCTATCATTGCATTTCAGACGGGAACTAAAAACTGGAGAGTCAAATGTAATGAAACTGCTGCTGTAAATTATTCCCTTTAGCATGTACTCAGTCGCTAAATACACACTTCTTCAAAATACTTGAATTCAGATGTCTTTACTATTCCCTGTAGCATATGGAACTAAGGAACACAAGCTTAGAAGATTTTGAGGACCAGAACCAGGGTGCTGTATAATGAGCTGACAGATTTCCTTCGTTGTAGTCATCTGTAAATCGGAGTCTACGTTGATGGCGATGATACAAATTTTACACCCTTTAAATTAAATATTGTTCCTTTTTATGTCATATCTAAAAAATATAGAAATGAAATTCTATAATATGTTGTTTTCATCGTAAGTCAGTTTCACTCAGGATCTGCAAAGATGCCAGCTATTTTTATTGTCACCACCTATCGTGGAGGTCTTGGGAAACACTTTATCACTACGCAGCCACTAGTATAGCCCCCGAAATCTTTATCTTATGAATCCATTTTTAACACAATTTCAACTGAGTGGAAATCTGTCGGGCATCATGGTATCATAGATACAATCAGCAAATTGACTCCAACATCTCTTTATTGTGTAACCATTGAGATATAAAATAACATGCCAAAGGCACCCATGTTTTTATGTTACCTTTGTCTGTAAGCATTATTCAAAGTCAATGTTAATGTTTGCAAAATACATGTTTCCATAAAGAAGAAAACACTATTTTTCAAAAAGTCTGCAGCAATCCTACTAGTTTGTTTGATTTCGACCAGTGCTCATATGCTAGTTAACTAAAGAGACGTACTTTTTAAAACAGATGAGTGAAGAGGATCCCAAAGACACAGAGAATGGAGCTGCGTGAGTGTGGCCTTGAGTCACAGCCATTCACACAGCCCGCCAGGCTGAGAGCGCCCCTTCGCCACTTCATACCCACAGGCACACACTGCAGGGCACAGGGCCGCGGGGAATCAAAGCGTGCAGAGAAGGTCATCTGAGTGGAAGGAACACAGGCTTCCCAACACACTGTCCGTTGGAGCCCGAGTGGCACCTCTGCACTGTGCCCCCTCATTTTAGCTTTCATCTACGTTGTGTTGGGGAGGAGAGGCCAACATAGGCGAGGCGTCCTCAAGGAACTCACTGGAAACAAGGGAAAGAGAGGCAGGGCCACCTGTTATCTGCCAGTCTTTTCTGGCCTTCTCGCTCCAGCACCTGCTGCCCAGTCCTTGTGCCACAGCTGCAAGTGTGCGCTCTGAGGCCCCTCTGATCTCGGTACTGGGGTTCACTGTCCGTGGCCCGGTTTCCAGACCAGGAGCTGCTTGAAGCCCAGGCTCGCATCTCAGTCCCTGTCGCCTCCGTGCCTACCAGGACGCTGAGAACTCAGGAGCTCAGCAAATCGCTGTGGTGCGGAGCTGCTGCACCCAGGCAGGGCCAAGGTGGAGTGCATGGCAGAAATGCCAAAGAGCAAAGAGCCGCGAAGAGCTGCCCTCCAAGGTGGCCGTGCAGAGGAGCGCTCGCGGGAGCTCTGTGCACTGAGGCCTCGTGTGCACCGCGCAGTGGAGGGACAAGCAGAGAGCATGGGGGGCACCCACAGCCTGCTCCACAGACCTGGAGCACAGGCTTTGGAGGACAGGAAGGCGCTGTGGGCCCGAAGCACACACCTGTCTGTCTTTCCCTGGACTTGAGCGACCTCCATTCCCGACCACGAGCTTGTCCCTGGGCTGCAGTGGCACATGCTGCTCACACTCCCTCCGAACCCCGCTCTCCATCCTCTCTTAGTGTCCACTGCCCTTCCCTTTACCCAGCCAGAGCGTCAATACTCGCAGTGTGCACACCTGCTCCAAACCAGACTGCGGCGAGTCCTCCCGCCCGGCTCCTGCAGGGATTGCGATCCCGCCATGAAAGGGAGGCGTGGGGCTTGGCCAGCTGGCCCCTCCACGCCCCAGCTCCAGTGCAGCTCTCAGCCACGTTGTGCGTGTCTGCTTTGGTGCTGGAGCCCGAGGCTGGCAGGTCTGAGCCTGCCCTGCTGAGGAGTGGTGTAGCATGTGTCACACATAAAGGAATAAAGACACAAAGTCTGCATGTGTTTGTTCAAGGGCAACCCTGGCTGGAGCGAGTCGCGGCTAGACAGTGCTGCTGGTGGGAGTGACACGCACAGACAGAGATTTCTACATTTTGTACAAAAATTTAGAAAGAAAATAGGGCTAGCTTCATCGGAACCTGTCAACTGCACCCCATCATTAAATTAAGTTGTCATGTTTTTCCTCATATAACAAAGGAATGTATTTTATTTCTCTTAATCTAAACATTATACTTGCAGATGCAGTGTTTATTTATACAGTACCTAAGCCAAAGTTCTCCCGAGTATGTGCAAGTCATCACGACTTGAGTAGTTCTGTCGTCTCAACTTCTCCCTTCCCTTTGTAAACCTGGCTGGGGCATGAGACCTCAAGTAAATACATTTGAAAATCCATGTCATTTGTGCAGCGCAGTTCTTACGGCTTTGTTGGTTTTGTTGATAGCTAAATCCAGAGAGATCTAAACTATTTTAGACAAAGTTTGTGTCTAAAATTCAACAGCTTTTCCACTTTAGGCTTTTGCTAGGCATTCTCAGTTTTCAGGGAGAGCACATTTTTTTATTTCAAAAAAAAATGACAGTATTATTCAGCTTCAAATACTGTCCTTTGTTCATACATTGTTTTAAATTGTTAGCAAATTAATTGAAGTCCAGATCTCTGTACACTTTTTAATAAATTCCATTTGAGTGTGGGTACTGACACTTCCTGGAGCATGGCTGTATTAGGTTTCCACTGATGCTAGTAACGAATTTCAGAATCGCCATTCATTTTATTCTTTTCATTATGTTTGACCTTAATAACATACCAGTTGAAATTGTTTATACTTTGTTTTGAAAAGTGGGTTAAATTATTACCTGTGAATTGTACAGTGTCACAAAAATGAAAAGTCCAGGACCCATGAGAAGTATACTGTGAATAAGTACTCAATACTGAATTCTTATAATCATAAAACACATTCACTGAAACAGTAAGAACATCCTCACCCCAGGCTGATTGTACTGCCCAAAGCCATCACTGTAGCAGCGCCCGTGGTGCGGGAGGGGATGGGCATGGCAGCGACAGGATGTGAGTGCACAGGCTGAGTTCTCAGTAAAGTACTTCATTTTGTCTCACTGTTTCAGCCATTCCAGTAGCTCTCAGGCTCTTCCCTGTACTTACCAGTGACTATATCAAGACACACTGTGGCTAAGTAGCTGCGTCTTCACTTCCCACAATCAAGCATGCGAGAAATGGAGCTCGAGCCCTTGTGTAATCAATCCACGGTTATCTGTGTTCCTGCGACAATGGCTTCGTGTTGTAACTGCGACACAATGCAGCACACTGCACAGACAGAGAGAAAGAGAATGAAAGTGCCTGGGAAGACTGGAGTGGGACTAGGTTCAGGCTCGGCTCAGGGGGACATGAACCTCTGTTCTTCAGGGGCCAGCGGGGATGACAGCTCCCGCAGCAGCCACACAGGACCAGCTCTGCGGGGCAGCGGGGCTGGACAGCCAGCTGGCCTTTCCGTGTGGGGACTGCAGCCTCTGTTCTCCCATCCACAAAATGGATTTCTCAGGTCTACATCAACCAAAGCAAACCATACTTTACTGTAGAGTCAAAGAAATAAGTGCTTTTTCCGATAGCACTGACATCACCAATCAATATTCACTTTTTAAAAAAGTCTTCATGACGAGGATGAGAAGAGATAGGCCTTCTCTTCTGAGGGCACTTGCACTTGATCACTCCTTCCTCATACATTCGAGGCCTTCAGCTTGTCTCAGTCCTTCAGAGCTACAATTTTCCTTCTTCCTACTCTAAATTGATTTCCAGAACTGTTTCCCAAGCTGTTCAAGTGTCCCCTTGCCTTTCCAATCAATGGTTTTGATTTCCAATTAAAGATATCCTGTGTTTGCATCTGTATTGCATTCTTTCCAAATCTTACAAACATTGATGTTTAATTTTGAAATATACAAAATTTTAATTCTTGCCCAGCCTCATCACCCCCAGTGATGCATCTGACAGGAGATCCATCAATTATTTTATTGTTAGTAATCACTTGCATATTTTTTCAATATGCAATTTTCAAGATCAGTATTTTCAAGCACAAAAAGTAGACTTGTCTCTAAAATTATTTCTTATTTTTCAGAGATCAAAATAATTCTTGCCTTATACGCACTCAGTAAAATAAACTATATTGCATTCAGTGTGCTTCATGCATGAAAAGTCTTGGTACAGTCCAAGCAACTGCAAGCTCTGATGAAAAACTTTCAAAAGTAAAATTAGACTGGAAGAAATGTATAGAAGAAACAATATGTTTTGTACCAAGATGTAATTCACAGAAAGAAAATGTAAGAACAAGCATTTATGAAGTCTCCAAAGGACATATGAAAAGAACACTGCCATAATTCACACCTAAGCGCATCACAATGTATGCAAAATTGGCCCCTTTAAAATGTAAAGATGAAAAGAGAAAACGCTACCATGCCAAAGAGAAACACAAGAAATAAGCCACATGTGTTGTGGGAGGCGATTCCGCGAAGAAACTGTGAGGGAACGCGAGACGAGGCTCTGCCGCGGCCCAGACGCTCCCGGCTAAGAATGGCTCGGCGCAAGGCGAGGAGCCTCGAGGCCTGCTGGGAGAGGTCCGGCGTTCGCAGCGTGTGAACCCCGACAGGGTTCGGTTATTCGGTAATTTTTCATAAGTAATTGCTTTCGGTTTGAAGTATTTGCCATCTTTCAGCCTTAACTATCTTGCAAGTTGATAAAAAGCAGCATAAAGACATGAAACAACGACAGAGGCTTTGAAGCCGGTTGTTCTATTGAGGGCTTTGAGAGACCACGCGGGCGGGCACCTGGCGAGTGGCCGTGCGCCCCGGACCGCAGGAAGAAGGACCTGCGCGGCGCTTCAGAGCGTCTGCTCCATGAAGGCGCATGCAATAGCAACTGCGTGGGCAGCGCACACGCGTACCCGGCAGCAGTGAAAATAACTGACACAGAAAATTTGAGTCGGAGGCGGGCGTGGTGGCGCAGGCTTGCAACCCCGGCAGGCCGGAGGCT